TGATATCCATTTCCCACTTCATGAATGGCCATGGAGACAAAACCGAGTGCAACACTCTGCTGGTTGATGTACCAATGGTGAGTAGCATTGGCACTTATCGTATTTTTGAACAAAATCTTTGGCACTTGTTCCATTCGGGACAAGTAGTATCCTGCCCTTACCAACTTTAGTACTAGGGAACCTGCGCCTAAATGATTTTCCCATATCCCTTCGTGGACTTTTGGCATAACATAATTAGCTTCGGAGGCTCCCAAGCATCGGGCCAATAGGCCTTGGAAAGATTTCCGGTACAATTGCCCTCCCTTAAAGCTATATCGTGTCGCTTTAGCGCGCAGTGCCCAGGATGCCTTGGTGTCTTCAGGCAACTTCCCATGCTCGAGACAATCAATGATCTCATTCCTCTAGTCCCAGACCAAATTAGTCGTGTATACCTCATAATAGCTATCTGCGTCCAGAATCGAGTGCATAAGCTGTACTACCGTGCTGGAATCTGACCCCGTCATTTCCGTTGATGAGCCAAGGTTAGCTAATGTGTCTACTTTTGGTTTTCTTTCCTCAGGATATGCATTATTGACCACTCCCGGAATCGAACAAGCAGAGCTTGAACCTTCACTACGTATTGTTGCATGCACTCCTCTTTGGCTTCAAAGATCCCGTAGACCTAATTTACCACCTGCTGGGAGTCGCATTTGATCTCTACGACCTTTGAATCTAGTCCCCAGACCAATTCGAGTCCTTCAATCAAAGCTTCATACTCTACTTCGTTGTTAGTCAATGAGACCGTTTTTATGGCCTGCCTTAGGGTTTCTCCCGAAGGCATGATTAATACTATGCTAAGCTCGGACCCTTGTATGTTGGAAGCTCCATCCATAAATAGGGTCCAAACTCCTGATGTCGATTCTGACGATATCACTACTTCTTTCATTGCCAGAGGCGGCAATCCCAAACTGAAATCGGCCACATAGTCGGCCAAAACTTGTGACTTAATCGTAGTCCTAGGTTTATATCCTATGTCAAATCACTCATTTCGACATCTCATTTGGCCAGCCTACCCGAGAGTTCGAGCTTATGAAGGATATTTCGCAGAGGAAGGTGGTCACCACCGCTATCTGGTGACATTAGAAGTAAGGCCTGAGCTCGGGGTGCAGTCCTGTCCCCAAGTGGAATTTCCTCTCCAAGAACTTTTCGAACAATGTGACTTGCTCAAGCTCTTCCGATGTGGACTTCATTGCATCCGTCTCTTCTAGTAACTAGAAATATCTTGGCATTTGATTAGACTCTAACGCCTCTTCCCCCTGGTTGACTTCACTTGATTTGGAAGCAGATGTCGGTTCCTATAATTGCTATGCCACATGCTCCTTTCCTTTGATACTGGATATCGAAATCGCATTCATCTCCTTTGTCGCCGGCTGATCGCCTTTTATTTGTTTAATCCCCTTGGGAGTTGAGAATTTTAGCAACTGATGATATGTTGATGGTACAACCTTCATCTCGTACAACCATGGTCTTCCTAGTAGAATGTTGTAACCCATATCACCATCTCGAAAATGGTCGTCTTCATCACCCCCTCATCATTTGTGGGTAGCACGATCTCTCCCCTGGTTGTCACGCTTACGAGGTTGAACCCGGTGATGAGTTTTTTGGCCGGAATGATGCTTCTGCTAAGTTTGGCTTGTTCCAATACAATCCATTGTATAATATTGGCCGAACTCCCTGGATCCACCAAAACACGTTTGATTTTAAAATCTTAATACATTTAAAGAATTAACCAACGTGTCATTGTGTAGAAACAACAATCTGTCTGTGTCTTCCTCTGTGAAAGTGATGTCATCTTCAGCGACTTTCCAGAGTCTTTTGCTGTAGATTACTGATACATTCATCTTTTTGCTACCGAGAAGTTAATCACGTTCCCCCTGAAAATCATGTTGATCGTCAGGAGTGGGGGATCTTCTCCTGTTTTTTAGGGATACGTGTTATCACGATTGAGACCGTAAATTGTTCTTGGCACGGTCACTTAAGAATTCCCTAAGATGGTCATTTTTTAGTAGTGTCGTACCATCTTCATGCAAATGCTGCCAGTCCCCAATTCGGTGATTGTTCATCCCATGGTATTCGCACCATAAATTAGGATCCTTCTAGTTGGGATAAGATCTCATTGGCTTCGGGAACCGTCTTAATGTTCTTCATAGCCGATACCAACTCTACTACACTCACGTTGAAGTTATATTCTGAAAGTCTGGGGTAGGAAGAATCTCGAGAATTTGAAGTTTCCTTCTCTTGTAACGACCTGTTGCTCCAGCTGCAATCAATTCTTCTATCAGTCACGAGCCTATCCACCGATCAGAGATCTCTTTCGCATCCTTCGGCCCATTCATAGGGAAAAAATCGGCTCCTCGAAGACCGTCGATCTATGTCGAAATCGTCTTTCGATTTCTCTTTATTCTTCTCTCGACCCTTAACTGACGTCGAGATATCGAGCTGATCATCCTCAATCCTTATATTTTACTCGTACCATTTGTGAACATCCACCCAATTTGTCTCTTGGAACTCGAGCAAGCTTTCTTTCAATTTTTGGGAAGCATTCGAACTCCTCGGATGTAATCCTTTGGTGAATACTTCAGCCGCCCATTCATCCAGAATGGTCGGTAGCAACATCCTTTCCTTCTGGAACCGGGTTACAAATTCCCGCAGTAACTCCGACTCTCCTTGTGCAATTATGAAAATATCGATCTTTCGGGCATGTACCTTTTCTGGCCCCGGCATGGGCCTTAATGAAAGAATCTGTGAGCATCTCAAAAGAATCTATGGAATGCTCGGGCAAAAGTGAATACCACGTCAAGGCTCTTTTCGTGAGAGTCTCTTCGAATTTCTTCAGCATCACTGATTCAATCTCATGGGAGCTAAAATCATTCCCCTTCATTGTCGTTGTATAGGTGGTGATATGCTCCTAAGGATTTGAAGTCCCATCGTATTTCGGCATGTCTGGCATTTTAAACTGCTTTGGGGTGCCGCACTTGGTTTGTACGGCAATTGAGTATACTTCTTTCACCCTTTCAGCACCGGTGGTGCATCCGGGATTTGGTCTATGCGGGTGTTCACTTCTCTCATAAACCGTATGAGTTCGTTTTTGAAGGGATCACTCTCGTTGTTATGACCGGAACCGACCTCGCCCCTCAAGGTGTTGTTGTCAACTCTTTATGTTTTTTGCTTTGTAGGATCACGAAAGGAACTGGACCCGCCCATTCTCATTATTGGAAGCACCCGATAACGCCTACTTCAGTTCTGTCATCACTTTATCCTGTCGTGTGATATGTCCTAGAATGGCCTCATGTTACTCATGCAGGACCCTTCCCGCTTCAATGACGTGCTCTTTTTTAGCATCATCAGGAGTCGCCTCTCGAACATGTCGCGGGTACCGCCTGTCGTGGACCGGTGTGTCTTCGTTCCCCTCACTACGGGTATCGCTGATCGGATTCTCGTGCTAAAGTTGGTTTCCTTGGGCCTCAAGGTTGTGTGTGTTGTTAACACCATTATCTGCCAATTTCTATGATTTTTTGCTAAGAACAAATAATCAAATATGTTAATAAAGGAGCTAAATACCAACTTAACTACACAACTGTCTAGGCCCCACGATGGGCGCCAAATTGTTTACCCGTAAAATGATACAGTTGAATTTATACGTGATTTCTAGACAAGTGAATTAATTTGATCCTGAATAATAGATGAATTATATAAATATACAGTACTTAGCTTTGAGGTGGAAACGAAATAACAGAAATAACAGTTCCGGGAGCAAGGTTTCCAGGCACAACAATAACAAAATCAAAAAGCAAGAAGAAAAGATTATACTAAGTTTTGAATAGAGTGTAGCGTATTTTTGCCAGAAAGTTCGTGCCCTTTACAATGATAGTAGAACTCACTATTTATAGCTGCATCTAGGGAACAAGGTCCTAGGATCAAGCCCCTCTTTAATGTCAATTATGAGGGTCATTAAAGAATGTATAATGACAGGCAATAAATGTTATATTCTTTGTAACGGACCGCATACTTAATGGGTGGCAGACATTTATCTCACCTTTGGGAGTATTACTTTTCTCCGGTAACAGACGGGATCATGACCTTCGGATTCTAGTGTCTTGTGTCATTGATTCCACACTTCACTTCCTTATTGGATTATTTAATGTAAACATATTTTACCCTATACAAATATACAACAACAACGACCCAGTATAATCTCACAAGTGGGGTCTGGGGAGGGTAATATGTACGCAGACCTTACCCCTACCCCGAAGGGTAGAGAGGCTGTTTCCAGGAGACCCTCGGCTAAAAAAAGCAACATGAGCCGATATATTAGTACCATAAAAATGCATAATAAAATAACAACAATATAAGAGATATGAAATACAGAATACGAAATACGAAATAGATGGCTGGTATAGTAAAACTAGAAGGTAAACCCTATACAGATATAGTGAATTTGAATTTCACCTGTTAGAATAACACAAATCCAACTGAATTTGAATTAATGGAACTATGATTTTTTTTATTATTTTTCTTGTGAATATTCAAAATTTTAACAAATTATTAATTGTTATAACCATTTAATCACTCATGTGTTATGTTAAATTTGCACTGTTACTTCACATTTGAGTAATATTGTTCTAACTTCTAACAACAACATAAATATCACATAGTACACATATAAAATAAATTAAGAATACATTTTTAAATTAATTTAAAATTAAATATACTTCGCTAAATATTACAAAGATCAAAATGAGAAATTATCAATAATCAAGGGATCAAAAGTGTTACTATGGATCTTTTATATGGTTGAAATGAATGGTCAAAAGTATAAGAAGAAAATCTCCTCTTAAAACACGGGATGAATACTGAAAATAGGGCCCACACACCCAGTACTTTTGACTGCCCCACTGTCACAATTTTCCTAAACATATAAATACCCCTCATTTCCTTGCTCCCATTCTCCACAAAAACCATCACACAGAAAAACACGGAATTCCAACGAACTTTAATCAGAGCGTAAAAAAGCAACAGGAAAAACGATGTCTTGTACCGTCGCCATTTCAAATTCACTGGCGTTCTCGCCGGTGGCTAGGGTTCCGGTGACCAAATCTCCCCTCTGTAAATCAGCTTCATTTTCTTCTTCTTCTTCTCCTAATTCATCTAAAACCCTAACGAAATTCCCTTCCTTTACCTCCTCTTCTTCTTCTTCTTCTTCTCCGTCTTTACAATTTCAAATTCTTCGGTTTCAGAAGCCATTACCAGTACCTGCACCGGCGCCTATTAACCTTATTAGAAATTCTAAGGAATGTTCTACTTCTGCGCCGAATTCTACTTCTCCGACGGTTTTGAAGAGGAAGAGACCTGCTAAACTGGATATTCCGATTGTTTCGACGACTTTTGGGAATTTTCTGGCGAATCCGGCAGCTGCGACGGCGGATTTTGTGGAGGTTGAGGGTGATGGGTATTATGTTTGTTGTAAGCGTGGAAGGAGAGGTCCGATGGAGGATCGTTACTCTGCACTTGTCAATTTACAAGGAGATTCTAAAGAGGTAATTTTTAGCTCGTTCTATTCACTTCTTAAGCTCATTTTGCTTTGATAAGTAGCTCTTTTTGTGAATTTAAGTTGTATGCACTGACAATATAAAAATTATTTATGTATCATGTCACTTTTGAGTTCATTATATGTTAATCTCTATGATAACGAGTTTAAATTACGGAATAAGGTCATTTATAAGATAATTACAGGCAAAATCTCGTGATAAACATTAGTTTGTAACCTGGTAAAAATGATAACTAACAGGTTAAATATTACTTAGTCACTGATCCGTGTTTTATATAGTCAATATATATAACTTAATTTATTTATTTTTAAATAGTATTTATTACCTTAGAAATTAGACCAAGTAGAGCAGTATGAATATTGGGGATTTTTAAAGCCGAACCTAATTAGTTTGGGATTGAAGAGGAGTAGTTGTAGTCCTTGTTGTTGTTTACTCTGTTGGGTGAGAGTTTGGCTGGAAATTAAACTATGATCCTTTTTCTTAGCTGTGTTTTTTTTTATATTGAAGTTGTTGTCTTTGAGAAAAGTGATCAGAAAAAGAAAAAAAAGAATCTCTAACTATAAAGAAATGTAGTTGGAAATTAAACTATCAAGTGTTTGTTTGTGTAGTCTTTGGAAAATTAAAATATTGTTCCCCAAATTTAGTCATTCAGATTAAAAAAAGCTCTAGTGCTTAGAGTAATATTCAAATATGAATCTTAGTTTACCATGCTGTTTGTGATTGGTTGAAAGCAGTTGAAACTGACAAAGGGTTTACTTGTTTCAGGGTATTTTTGGTATATTTGATGGACATGGAGGAGCTAAAGCTGCAGAGTTTGCAGCAGAAAACTTGAATAAGAACATTATGGACGAGCTAGTAACGAGGAAAGATGAAGATGTCGTGGAGGCGGTCAAAAACGGTTATTTGAAGACAGATTCCGAATTTCTCAACCAAGAATTTCGGGGTGGATCATGCTGTGTAACAGCATTGATCAGGAATGGCGATTTAGTGGTATCCAATGCTGGCGATTGTCGTGCAGTTGTTAGTCGAGATGGGATTGCTGAAGCACTCACTTCGGATCATAAGCCTTCAAGGACGGACGAGAAGGACAGAATTGAGACTTTGGTGAGCAACTTGACCGTGAATTCATGCTTCGCTTTGCCTTTTGCCAAATTGATTACCTTTATATTATCTGTATAGTTGCTGATTCTCTCATGCTTTACTGTTCTGTAGGGTGGCTATGTAGATTGTTGTAGTAGTGTTTGGAGAATCCAGGGATCTCTTGCTGTGTCAAGAGGTATTGGAGATCGGTATCTTAAACAATGGATAACTGCAGAGCCTGAGACAAAGATCGTCGGGCTTAATCCTGAATTGGAGTTCTTAGTTCTTGCATCGGATGGTTTATGGGATAAAGTCAGCAATCAGGAAGCAGTAGATGCTGCTAGGCCTTTGTGCACAGACATCAGTAAGCCACAACCCTTGTCGGCCTCTAAAAGCCTCATTGATCTTGCTGTTTCACGAGGTTCTGTTGATGATATAAGTGTGATGATAATTCAACTGCAGCAATTTTGCTGACTCTCCCAATTTAGGTCAGACCGTCAGAGAAGAAACTGTTTACTAGTTGGCACAAAGACGGATTAGTCGAACCGGTGGGTTTCGGTTACCAGATGTCTGAAAAATGTTGGTGACCTGATGAATTCTTTCTCAACTAACTTCCCAGAACAATGATGAAGATGATAACAAGAAAATTTTGCTTGTAAAAAGTTGTAGGATACCTCTGTAAATTGGATTAGTTTTCAGATATTCTTTTTCCTCCCTCCTAATCCCCGTCTGTAATTCTTGTAAAATCTGTGTATCCTCTTACATGTATAGCAGATTGGTGAAATGGTGAGCAAAACTCTTTCTTATTCTTTGCTTCTGCAAAAAGGGCAACATATCCAGTGTAATCTCCTTTTGTTTCTGATAGACCCTTGGATCAAAGCAACAACAAGATAATAGAAAAACCAAATCAAAAGCAACATCATCAGGTATTCATAGAAATCTAAGAATATGGAAATATAACAATAAGGCAACTAATACTGAAATGAAAGGAAAGACGCTCGACTGCCTACTATCCTTTTACCCTAATTCTCGACCTCCACACCCTCCTATGAAGAGTTATGTCCTCGGTTGGCTGAAGATGCGCAACGTCCTGCCTAATCACCTCTATTCGGTATTACCTCGGCCTCTCTTCAGAACCCACCATCGTCAATCTTTCACACTTCCTCACTGGGGCATCGGGACATCTCCTCTTCGCATACCCGAACCATCTTTGCATCGCTTTCCGAATCTTGTCCACCACGGAAGCCACACCTACCTTGCCCCGAATATCTTCATTCCTGATCATATCTCTCTTAGTATGCCCATATTATTCACTGCTTCTATGACTGAATATTTTACTGACTTTTTAACTGAGCTTAATCTTGAAACTTAAAGTTTTGTCAAATGTTATCCTGGACTTCCCCACAAGCTGTATTAGCTAAGGTATTTTATCATATATTTTTAATTATTTGCAGTCAGTATTTGAAAACTCAAGATTAATTACGTGTGGAATTTATGTTATTCCAGTTAATGTGAATATACTTAGTATACTTAATTAAGGTTTAAGGGGCGTGCCTTCTATCATCCTTCCTTTGCAAATTTAGTACTTTCAGATAATTAGGTATAATGATATATGCATAAGAGCTGCTGGTTTCAAATTGACCATTATGTAAGGGAAGAGTTCGATCATCTTATTGTTTTTTCTTAAAGATCCCAAGTTCTTGGTACGAAAGAATGAGTAATGAGGAGTTTAAAAACCAAAAAAAATAAAAAAAAAATAAAAAGCTAGATATACATTAACAAGAGTTTATTAGCAGTGGCGGACTCATTAATGAGTGCGAGTTTAGCAAAACCCAGTGATATATTGGTCGAATCTTATATATCTGTGCTGACAATAAATATAAATAAAGTCAGATATACATTTCAGAATTCACTCTCTCAACTCAGAACTCACAACGAGATTCGGTCTGTGATGAAAAGTTGTCTAGACAAGATTTTATAGCATATGGAGAGATTTGGTAGGTTGGAGTGAAGGATGTCCAAATTCAAATTTGGGTTCCTATTCGATGAATTTGACTTCCCATTATTGGTGCATACATATACTATTATCTTAAGTCACTCATATCCTCTATAATAATCAATAATTCTCTCCAATGCATATTTTTATGTCTTAATCTATTCCTAGACCAAGTTCAATCCATTTGCACCAGTCCCTCATTTTATTTTTATTTTTTTGTTTCCCACTTGGTGTCCGATTCCCGCATTGGAGCCCGATTATATTCGGATTCGCACCGCGTAGGATCCCATTCGGCGGAAAACGCTCCCTACCATGGATTTTTCCATACCCAGGCCTCGAACTCGAGACCTCTAATTAAGGGATGAGCAGTCTCATCCACATCACCACATCCTTGGTGGTCTCATTTTATTATTTTACATTACAAGAAAACAGATAAATGATCTCTTAGCTGTGCAGTATGGATATTCTTAATAAGTCTCTTGTCAGCATGCATGTTTCTTTTGTGGGCATTTGGTGAGTTGTGATTTTCTTTAAGGAGGGATTCTTTTTTACTTTTTCCTTTTTTTTGTTGGTTTCAGATATTCGTTATCCGAATAAAATATAAATAACTTCTAGTACTTCTAAATTTTATTTTATATAATATTGATCTGAGATGAATTTAAATTGAGTAATATGGTTATTGATGATTCATATAACCGTTTGGGATTGAGGGTTAATCAGTAGTGGAGCTTAGAATCATAACAAGGAGATTCAAAAATGTAAGAACACACATACTTAGGATTTGAATTTGCGACCTAAAGCAATTTTTGAAGCACCTCTACCCCTAAAATTAAAGCTTCCCTTATGTCAAGAAGATTCAAAAAAATTATATATATGCAAAAAATAAAAATAAAAAAAAAAATAAAAATTGAACAATATAATTTTCCAACAGAGGGGATTCAATTGAAATCCCGTTATTGAACTTAGCTCCGCCACCAGGCGTAGTTGTTCTAATTCAAATTTGTACCAAATAAATAATCAGCAACAATCTCAAATTGAAGTGAAAAGTGTATTTTTTTTTTAAAGAGTGATAATAAGTCATGAAAGCTCGATTTCATACTCTAAAATTCCATAATAAGTGGCAAGTTGTAGTCTTTCAGAAAAAGCATAAATATAAACTGCGCCCAATAAAGAATCAAATCAAGAAAAGATAATCGTGATACGTGTACTTGATTCACCCAATAATTTTTGGAAGAATCAATTAAAAACAAAATAATAAATAATGCAATTATATTAATTCACAATATTTATTCAAACTAATATATATTAAATTTTAAATATAATTAAAATTATTTTATAATTTTAAATACTTGCAATAATATCTCTTTTTATAATAATTGGGAATCCAAAATTTAGTGGCTCGACAAATTCAGCTATGTGTTGGATAACCCATTAAGGGGGTAGAGAACTCAAGATTCTCCAATCTTAGAGCTCAAATCTGCAACCAAGGTCAAGGATGAAAAAAAGCTAGAAGAATTAATCTAAATAGCCACCACCAACAACTTAAATTAAAAATAGTCAGGTGAAATTATAATATATGTATAGTTTATATATTATATGTATATAATTATGTATAATTTATGTATATAGCTAAAAAAAGTAAACAGTGGATATAATCGGTTATTTATATAAAAATCCCATAAAAATATCCTAACCAGCTCACCGCACCCTGCGCACCCCCGGATGGTGTCAGTATTTTCTTTTCTTCATATCTTCGCAGCAATTCACACAACTTCATAGGTACTACTTTTAGTTAAAATACGGACAATTTGATGCACAAAGTATATCACATTCATGTCAAGTCTGAGGAAGAGTTGCTCCTCAAGGATGTGGTGTAGACATCCTGCCTAATGCAAGTATTACTGATTACTTTCACAGCTCGAACACATAATATATAAGTCACACAAAAATAACTTTATCGTTGGTCCAAGATTCCCTTCCATAAATAGTATTTTTTAAATTTTTCTGATTTTTCTGCTTAAGACTAGCAAAACCTAAATCAAGATTATTCTAGATTTTAAGATGCCGCATGAATTGGTTTCACATGATTTGTCGTCTAATTCAAGTCCTAACATCCGGCGGTTTGGAAAATGAAAGTGCGTTCCTTCTTGGAACAGATCACCACATGACTCTCTTTGCTCTTTCCTCGTCCTTTTCCATGTTACTTTTTGTTTGTTCCTTGTCTATTTTCAGACAAAACAAAAAGTAAAGTAGTCTGTCGTAGGGTCTTTGCTAAACGATTAGATAGTATAATTCGTATGTCGACTAATTAGTAGTTTTTTTTCAATCTTTAACTAGCGATTTTGAGTTTAGGTTATAGGGATAGAATTACCTTCGTTAAGTCGCACTTTACCCCTAATGTGAACTTCTCGACATGAATCTTGATTTAGTTGGACTTGACATGGGTATCAGATGAGGGAATCTTACGGAAATATTCCAAAAATATTTTAACTTACCAACCTCTAACCATTAATTATAGATCAAAACAAGTCAAGCACATACAAAAATTAAAACTCCAAATAAATAAGGATTCTTTCTCTCCAAAAATCACACACAAATATCTCCTTCCACATATATATATATATATATATATATATATATATATGTGGAAGGAGATATTTGTGTGTGATTTTTGGAGAGAAAGAATCCTTATTTATTTGGAGTTTTAATTTTTGTATGTGCTTGACTTGTTTTGATCTATAATTAATGGTTAGAGGTTGGTAAGTTAAAATATTTTTGGAATATTTCCGTAAGATTCCCTCATCTGATACCCATGTCAAGTCCAACTAAATCAAGATTCATGTCGAGAAGTTCACATTAGGGGTAAAGTGCGACTTAACGAAGGTAATTCTATCCCTATAACCTAAACTCAAAATCGCTAGTTAAAGATTGAAAAAAAACTACTAATTAGTCGACATACGAATTATNAGTAGAAACAGTAATTTTGGGAGCAAGGCTTCCATGCACAACAGTAATGAAATCACAAAGTAAGAAGGTAAAATTGAATAAAGCTTTGAATAGATTATAGCATAAGTTTGTCAGAAAATTCGTGTCCCTTTATAATGATAAGAGCCCACTATTTATAGATGCACCTAGGGAATAAGGTCATAGGATCATGCCCTTCTTTAATGTCAATTATGAGGGCCATCGAAGAATGCGTAACGGTGAGCTTGAATGGCAAATTCTTTGTAACTGGCAGTGTATTAAATATTATAGAATATTCTCAATTAAATGTTACTAGGTGGTAGGCGTTCATTTCATCTTTATGAGCATTAATATTTCCTGTAACAAATGGAAAAGTTATCTTCGGTCTTAGTTATCCTCTGCATTCGGTTTCATGTGTCACCCTCTTATGCAATTACTTAACATAGCATATTTTACCTTATACAGATAGTCCCCCTACTTTTCGGTGATATAACTTTGTGTCACCGGGAAGTTGGTAGAAAAATTCTTTTTGGCGAAAATTTCTTTTACCCCTCTGAAAAGCTTCAAATGGTTGAATAGACGCACCGCGCACGTCTCTGCACATTTAATGCTCTGAACACGCATCATCCCAAGATTCAACATAACTTTTGTCAGTTATCGAGGTAACTATGACCATGAATTTAGCCGCCTAAACCTTTACTTATATACATCAACTTCCTTAATTTTACACTTCATAACATTCTGAATTTTCTAAGACTTTCTTTACTCAACTCGTCTTTCGACTTCAACCTTTCCCCAACTTCCTTCTTTGAGAGAAAAAAAAACTCTTTCACTAATAAAAATTGA